TGGTGGATATTTGTTATTTTATGTATACTTAAAATAATATAAATAAAAAATATATTTAAAGTTTAAAAAAAGTGTTTTATTATGTAAAAGTATGTACATTGTAGAATACTGCACGTTGTTTTGTGGAATAAATTATAATGCTTCAGAAATTAAATTATACTGGGTCGCAACTTAATGACCAAGAACAAATGTGGATCCTGAGGTTCCACAGGTTGAGAACCACTGGTCTAGACTAGGGCATGACACTTCATTATGACTCTGCCTGTATTGTTCTATGTATTTTGGACTACAGGCTGTGTATTTTACTGTGTATGTGTATGGAGAATACGGAAACATCAAATTTGTTGTTTTGCAGTAGAAGTATGTGTGTAGACGTGATAGAGGTGCAAACTCGGTATAGAGTATAGGACCAGCCATGTCTAAAATGGTATGATTGCAACTTGAATATCCGACAACCAAGTATGTCAGGAGAGGAAAATAATGATTTTTTTTTTTTTTCGAGCACATGTCTAGTCCAAAGACCAATATAAATTAAATTATCCTAAAGAACAAATTGTACAACAGGGGGGGGGGGGGTCAGTATTCAATACAGTTCTAGCATTTCTTTGTCATACTTTGGACTGAATTATATTATTTCTGCTTATTGCTCTTTACATTATAATATTCTTAAGCAATGATTTACCAAACAGCTGGATTTAGTGATGGTGGTGACAGATGCTGCCAGCTGTCAAAATACCGCATATAGGACTTTGACAGCTGAAGTGACCCCAGGTGCCAATTGAACAGTACTTCTGCTCTGATTTAATGAAAGCCTCAGGTATAAAATTAGATGCTATTTTAGCCAATATGTCTTTGACACTAGTCGTACTTGCTAATAAAAAAGAAACAAAATAAACGACAGACTGGTTAAGTCACATACACCTGCCTTTTGAACACACTTCTCTTATCACATGAAAACAGCTGCATGGATACTATTTCTAATAATAAATATAGTATATGTCTTTGCTAAAAACACCTATTACTAAGTAGCAATAGTCATGACTAAATACTGCATCTGCCAGTTATACCGGGTATCTATAGTAAAGTATAACCCTTTGCATTTTTGACCATTCAGTGTCCCTCTCAAAAGAGAATGCAGGTGCAAGAGGTAGTGGTTAGTTTATTTTAGCTCTGAAAAGGCACAGGGCTTTAGGCACAATATCTGGCTTGAAAATTATTGGAGGACATGTCTTGAAGGGAATTGCTATATGTATTCAGGGAATAAACAAAAAAAGAGGCAGTTTACAGGTCTCAAATGGTTCACTGATTTGGAGTGGACTCCAAATCCTCCAGCAGCCTAAAGGGTTCTTTCCCAACAAACGTCCCTACCAGCCTGGGAACAACATCGAGCCACCATGTGAGTACGAGGATTCTAAGGTACATCTTGGGATATACTGTAACAGCATTTGTCAGACATTTCTGAAAACTTTGTTGAATAACTTATAGTAGATGAGAAAGCTAAGTTACAATCTGGGTTTTGCAGCAGTCTTCATTTGTGATCATCAAGTTATTCCAGTTGAGCATACACCCATAAGATTCAAAGAGAAGGGATTTCTGAGAGTGACCAGTTGTGTCTCGGAACTGGAAACCAGTTAAAATACCGTACATGCTATGAGAAAGCAGGCTATGTATGCCTTCTGAGTCCCCCAAGGAATAGATGGCTTCAGTTGTGAGGTAAGACAAGAGAAGATACTACCCAACAGTAGTATGTTAGAGACCCAGAGAACCAAAGTAAGGAAAGATGAAATGTAACCCTGGTATCTTAGTACAGAACTTGTAAATAGATAAAGATTGTGAACCCTTCCACTTTACCAGAAAGCCTAAACTAAAGGCACGGGTGTGATGGGGCACCTGCAGTCAGTTCTTGGGCCCTCTTGGCCACAATCTATCTGTAGATTTCCGAAGGCCAACATCATGCGTAGCAGTTTAAGTACACTGTGTGTTATACACTAAAAATGTGTGTTAAGTTTGATGCCTATATAGCTTTAAGAAGGTTTAATGTGTATCTTTAAGCATTTTTGAACTTTTCGTAAAAACAGAGCAAAGCCTGGGTCAAGTAAAGCAGGGGGTTGAGAAAATTGCAGATAACAATATTGCAGAGAACAAACTCCTTGTGTGTGTGTTTTCTAAGTGTTTATTGAGCATTCTCATTGACTTGGATTATCAGCGTTTATGGAGTTATCAGCAAAGAAAAATGCTGCATAGGACACCCTTATCATCATATGGTGCTGTTCCTCTAGTGAGCGATTATGTGCATACACCCAGGCACTTGCAGTATAAATATTGACACAATTTTTTTTTTTTTTTTTAGCGTTTTCAAAACGCAAAAATACTAAAACTGATGCCCCTATTTATGATCCCTTAAAGAAAGTTTTATATACGGCGCTTCACTTTACAATTAACTATACATGTTTTACTATCCCATGTCATGCAGACAGTACTCTAATCTTGCTTTCTTTACACAGCTTTTGTGTTAAAATATTATAGTTTTATTAGTAAATCTGATATATCTGAATCTGATAAATCTGAATCACTATTCCTTTAAAGTCTGAGGCTGCTAAAGTCAACTCCCAATCAACATCCACCATTTTAGCATTAGACTTGTCATAGTTTTGACTTCTTTAGAGTAAGTATTATTCCTCCTCTGTCATTAGAACTGATGTAAATTAGAGGCTATATACTATATTAACAGTTGTTTCTTGATATATAAACTATGCTTCCAAATCAAAATATCAACTATTTGCTGGTGAACATATTTACATCATTTAAAAAGTTTAAACAGACACATACATTATAAAGTAAATAGTAAGATATACATATTTTGAAGCTGATGACACGTTATGCAAATACACATAATTACTTAGAAAGGTATTTACATACAGTAAATACTGGCAAAGCAGTTATTCAGGTAGTTAACCACTTGAGCTCCAGAAGGTTTTATCCCTTTCATGACTAGGCCATTTTTTGCTAAACCACACTGCGCTACTTTAATAGGTAATTGCATGGTCATGCAACACTGTACCCAAACAAAATTTATATAATTTTTTTTCACACAAATAAAACTTTCTTTTAGTGGTATTTATTCCATGCTGGTTTTTTTTCTTTTTTTTATATATAAATAAAAAAGCTTGACATTATTGAAAATAAAACAATTTTTTTCATTATCTAGTATAAAACATACCCAATAAAAAAAAAAATCAAATTCTCTATTAATTTTTATCTCAAATCCCAATATGTGTAAATTTATTGGTTTGCATGAAAGTTATAGCACCTACAAACTATGGTATATATGCTGAAATTTTTTTTTTTTTTTTTTTTTATACTACTGACGGTGATTAGTGACTTATAATGAGACTGCGATAGTGCGACGGGCAATCTGACACTGATGCTGGGGGGAACTAACTGCCTCTGATATCACCAATGACATTAATACAGTGATCAGTGATAATATTATACACTGTCTCTGTACTAATGACACTGGCTGGGAAGCAGTTAACATCTAGGGTGGTCAAATGGTTACATTTGTGTCTAATTATGTGTAATGTGTGTAAAGTGTGCTGCGTTTTTTACTACTAGATTTCTAAGTTATTCATCCCTGTTTTGCAGGGATAAGAAACACAGAGATCATTCCTTTTGTACAGAGCTCTGGGCTGTAATTGTACACAGCTGATCAGCAGGTTCCAGATGTGAATCATTGGCTAGAATCTGCTGATAGGCTCCCACTGTGTACAATCATAGCGGGTGCCGGATTCAGGGGTGCACATGCAGAATGCGGAAGTAGGCAGCAATGTACAGGTACGTCGCCTTGCCTTTAGTGGCTGCCCATCCGTAGTACATTGCGAGTGGCGGTAGCTAAGTGGTTAAATAGTACATTAACACTGAAAATGTAATGGTATGCGCATAAACCTTGGACACAATTCTGCTCTTTATACAAAAAATATTTAATAGCTCTGGGGAAACATCTGTAATCAGACATGGCAATGCTAAATAACTGAAAGGCAGTAGAAGCTGTTAAAGCAAACAAAATCTTAACATATACTGTATAAAAAAAGAAGATAAAACACATTATTATAATATAGTTATATATATAGTTGCTCCTAAGGCAGTAAAAGATATGGCTATTCTACATTCTAAAGACTCCACAAAGGAAAAGGTGATATCAGCTTTACATAGAGAAAACATGTTACCTTCTGCTAAGAGGGGTTCTTTACAGGTACAATCAATAGTGGAGCCTAAAGAAGGATAATTGTATTAAATTTAATGTTATGCACAGAGATAACTGTTAAATGCTTATATGGATAAATATTGATCCAGAAAATTGATGTGACAGGCCTTGTGGGTCAGGAAGGAATTATTTCCCCCATAATGCGAAAATAGTCAACAGTTTCCAGGTGGATTTCTTTTTTCTTTGACTGGGCCGAAACAACAGGAGTTAAGGTATCTATGACATTACAAGATGTGTCTAAAGTCATTCATGCATCACAGTATACAGTTCAAATGTAAGATACAAGCTCACTGTTCAGTAAATAATTGGTAACTATAAATTTTAAGGGGTCTTATTTTAGAATATATCTACCACTTTTGTGTACAATGTAGGATGTCAGGCATATTTTATCTCATGCAGGTATTCCACTACAAAGGTTAGTTTGATATGCTATTTATATTTACTGTATACATTCATAAGCAGTCATATCTTCTGAAGAATCTGCTATATGGAGGTTATGCTGCTTGTAAGAACTGACACAAAATACAAAGGTATCCTTTGGTTACTTTTTTTTAAATTGTTGCAAATATTTTATTTATATTCATATCAAATAGGAAGATGTACACGTGGCCATGGTATACCAAAATCCCCTCCCTCCCTCAGCTTATGTAAATTTAGAACATTAATAAACAGCAATATACAGTTTTGCATGTGTATAAGTATACAAGTAACAGTAGTACACTATCAGAACTCTCACCTGAAACAGGAAACACTGGAGCTGGAGGGTTGGAAATGACCCGTGGTGATGTGCTATCCTCCAAGTAAAAGTGGGCAGTCTGAAAACATTTCCTGAAATATCATAAGCACTTAGTTATATAAAGGGTGTGTAGGCCAAAATTTAAATCTAGGAAATCAAAACAGAGAATTACATTTCAGAATAAGTTTTCACTAGTAAGAGGACGTGAAAAATGGTTTTGCCCATTTATAAATAAGCCCTAAAGTAATAGAAAAAATATTATCATAGTTATTAATGTATTTTTTTAAATTACATTGATAGCACAGGTTAATAAATATTAATGATGGAAATATTCTAATACTTTTTTTTTACCTCATTCTAATGACACATCTCTTAGCCTAAGAAATTGTAATTATTAGAATAAATGATTTAACTTTACAATTACATTAAAACTTTGTATAAATTATTTTATCTCTTTTGTCTACTTGGATACACTTGGAAACAGGATCTTCCATCCATGGGAATGAGTGCTAAGCTTTTGCATGCTTTAATAAACTTGAGACTGATTTACTAAACGATAGATTTTTTTAAGCTGCGCAGTGAATCCATGTTTAACATGACCATCCAAGCATGTACTGTCACTCCAATAAGAATGATTGGTTTTGATCTGAACATAGGCTTAATAACCAAAATAAAAAGACAAGCAGTTTTTTAAAATTAGGTTTTAAAAATGAATTAAAAAAAAAAAGCTGTTTCTTTATCATAATGTACCGATGGTATTAATAAATTAATTTCATTTTATTCTTCAGTATATAAATATTTGGTGATAATCCTTCACATTGCTAATTATTGCTATGACAATAGATATATGAACCTGGGATCTACTCAATAGGAATTTACTGGGGTAATATATTGAAAATAATAATATTTGTTAGGGGGAAAACCTGAGGTGGTCTACATATGGTTTTTACTTCAGTTACAATTGTTGTTACTTAATGTTGCACTTTTTTAGATCATCCCAGTTGTTGACCCCTTTTGAACAAATGCTGATTAGCAATCATTTATATCTCTTTGTACTGTATGATATGTAGATATGTAGACACCACATTCCACCTTAGTGGTAGACCCAAGCATACAATATAAAGAATTTTAGAGGTGTCAATGTGTTGTTGTTTCATGTAATATGTCTAAAATACTAATTTTTTTATTTACAGTCTTTACAATCTCAGACAACGCTACATTTGCATGGATGTTAAGACATAGGAGAAGTCACAGGAAACTTGGATTGTGAAAATCAAAACTCTCATGTGATGCTTACGGTGACATGCTTTCTCAGGAATTTTCAATCAATTTGACTGCAACCACCAAGCAAATTTTCTGAGCATTAACACCACTGTGGCCAGGTAAATTTTTATTACAAGTCCAATTCCAGCTGCTATGAGCAGGTTGACTTTAAGGTTTGTTGAGAACTAATCAGAAAATATAGCCCCCTCCTCCCCTGAAGAAACCCATCTGGGTGAAACATGTTGGAATCTTGCTTGTAGGTTATCCACCAATATAATGTCGCCATTTAATGGGCACCACATTGGAAATGTGGGGTAGAAACACCATTATTTAGAAATATATCTCTGACAGAGTTAATTTTCTGTAACATTTTTTATACTATGTGAGAAGTATTTTTAAGTTAGGGATTATGTACACCTTTGTTTTATAGATTTATGAAATAAAGGAAAATGTTTTTTTAAACAAGTGTTTTGATGTTCTTTCTGAGAGAACACCCACCACCCAAAATCCTTTCTCTGGAGTATTGCGGTTTATTCCACTATTCTAATAAGTGATGTTAAAAAGATTGATGTTCCATCTGCAGGTATATCCATACACTCTTACATATTTGAGAACTTTCCAGAACATCTTTTTATCATATTATCATTTTTATCATATTTTACATTGAGATTGTAAATAAATATTTATGATTTTAGACATACTGTGGTTCTTACTTGGAACAATTACATACTTAAACATTTTAAATCCCGTACATTGTCTGTTTGGGTTTATTCCTAACATTGTCATATTGTTTCAGTTTGATGGTTAATCAATCTCAAGTGTTGCAGCAAGCACGAATCACCCTTATTTACTAAAAGTGAATGCAAAATGCTCAGGTATATCACACTGTGCATACAAACGAAACCAGAGCTCAAATCTTCATGCAAACTAGAAGGAACTATGAATGCCAAACGTTGAGGTGCAGCCCTTCAAAGATCGGGAAATCTTGGTACTGGTAAACAAAAGCAAAACAGGACGCACTCCCATCGTGCATTAACATGGTAAACCACACATTTATTTAATTAAAAAAAAAAGCTCGGAAGAAGGGAGTCCGTCTCCCGAAACGCATTAGCTTATCACAACAAGGGTATATCATTCCATTGGACTGACATTACGGATTTATCTGTTCTGTATTTATTCTCTTTGATTTGTGAGTATACATCTATATGTTTTTTAATTAAATAAATTTGTGGTTTACCACATTAATGCACGATGAGAGTGCACCCTGTTTTGCTTTTGTTTGCCAATATCACACTGTGTGACAACACACACAGTCAAGTACACCGTCCCCTGAATGTTCCACTTATTGACAAGTGTACAACACCTTTCTAATTATAAAAGAAAACATTTACAAGAGTAATATTCACATTCCTTTGTGATGCTCAACATCTGAAATTAGAGGTCAGTGTGCCAAAAATACTAAAGAAATACTATTTGTTGTTACTAAAATTGGATAGTGCAGTATCTGGCGCAGCTCTGCGCAGAAACCAATCAGCTTCCAGGTTTTTTTGACAAAACTTAATTGAACAAGCTGAAGTTAGAAGTTGATTGGCTACCTGGCACAGCTACACCAGATTTTGCACTCTCTAGTTTTAATAAATCAAACCCACTGTATATGTATATATATATATATATATATATATATATTATGTACCATGGGGAAAATAATTATTTGATCCCCTGCAGATTTGTAAGTGTGTCCACTTACAAAGAAATGCAGGGTCTATCATTTTTATCATAGGTGTATTTTAAATGATATGATAAAAATTATAGACCCTTCATTTCTTTGTAAGTAGGCAAACCTGCAAAATCTGCAGGGGGATCAAATCATTATTTTCCCCACTGTATATATATATATAAATATATATATTCCTGTACTAGGTCTCCTCTTTAGCCACTCTGGCTGCTATATGTAAAGATATGTAGAGGCAAAATTTTCTCACTGCTCACTGCATCTGTGGAATGCAGGAATGCTTGTACATGGAACTGTGATGCGGTGACCTTTAGGGCTTCTTGTTCAAATTACTAACACTATTTCCATTTCAGGCATTAAAAATATTATGGCAAAAAATTTACCAGTTACATTTGCCATATTAGAAAACAGGGTGTTACAATCAGTAGTATAGGTAGGAAGCCCCAGAAGTCACTTTCTTAGAGTTCATGCCCTCCTAAAACACTTCTCCAGCTTAAGCCCCTTTGCCAATTCACCAAAAAAGGTTGGAAATCTACCAAACCATCGGGAGGTTGTGGGTACTTTGCACATACACTTTCATGCAGACAGCTAAGCCTGCGCATCGGGTGCCAGGAAGCCTGAATCGCATCAATATCCAGCTCCAGTTATTTGGGCTCATCTTTTTTTGGCGACTTCTCCAGTGCTGAAGTGAATTTGGGGTAGTACAAGATGATAGCAGACTATATGCTCATTACCTACTTGCAATAGGGATATTAGTCTGCATGCCTGATATTTTTTAAATTGAACTCAACAACACCACTAAGAACAATGGACTGGATTAACTTAAGGTAAATAGCGTGTCCAGGGGGTAATGAATAAGCGCTGCCTTTAGCGTGAAACGCATTTACCTGCCAGTCTCCCACTGTATTTCCACTGTCTGTATTGGTTTTATCTTGGTTCAATAAAGTGGATTGTTTGGAGTGCAGCCGATTGGACGTCCTTTGTTCTCATCTATGCAGTGCATTAGCTGGGCTAGCACTTACAGGAGGAGTTGTGCTTGGAGATTGGGAGTCTCTCTACCTTGAGCAGCGGTAAACATAAATAGGCTGTTCACTTTGCAAGGAAATGTTCTCTTTGTTTAGTGATTGAGGTGGGCTCCGCTTTTTTCCATCATCCACTCATGTGCAAACAAAAATACAACTTTTTTTTTTCCCTGAGAATGACTGAGTATTCTTTGCAAAAGTGTGTGTTCACCACATTCACTACGCTGTGTCAAACTTCCTTGCAAACTGAACAGTCTATTTGCCACTAGTATATCAATCCCAATGTGTATAAGTGTGTCTCTATAGGGAATAATTGTAATCTTCTACATCAGACTGGTGTATGCAATGTAAGTAAAGGTTTTTAGTCACTGTGCGGTGATTGTAACTTTTTCTTGGCTATAAAGAAGATACATAGTACAGTAAACACCATTCCCTATTGATGAAAAGAGCCCATTTTAGATGTTGCCAATTGTAAGTTGATTTGGTGAATTTGCTCGTAACGCTTCCTAGCAAGTATGCTATATATTAAATAAAATATTCGATGGTAAATGCGCTTCAAATGCACAATAAACATGTGTGGTGAATGTGACATTCACTGAATTATTGAAAAAAATTTGGAGGATGAAAAAAAAATAATTATTTAAAATTTTCTTTTTCAACTAATAAACGGCTCTGCTGTTTAATTTAATTATTTATTTGACCAAAAACATTCATATGACTAATGTAATCAAAACATAAACATTTAACTTTTATCATTTCTTGAATACCCATTCAAAGGATAAAATAGTTTGATCACTGCCATGTTAGAGTAAACATCATTCCATGTGCTGCTCATGGATGAAGCTATGTACATAATCCCTATCAATTAGGATGCAGCTACTTTATATAAACTCAATGTACAACATCTGGTTTTGCGATTCTTGTAGGCAGGTATTTCCATCTGTTTGGTATAAGAGGTGAACAACATCAGGCTTATGTGTTAAGTGTGAATTACTAATTATCACTTGATTAAAATGATGAAAGTGCTGACTGCTGGAAACACACAGGCATACAGTAGTGCCTATCAATCAATAATGTAAGATATTACCAAATCTGCATATATCAAAGGGACAAGGGTAATTGAGACTGATGGATGCATGTGTGAAAATTGTAAGTGTTTGCAAAGCATCAAGACTTTGCTCACATCAAAACCCACCAACAATGTAGAAATTTTAGATTATGTTATGAAAAACCATATGATATATTATTCTCCTTGACTGGACCAGAATGAAAAAAGAAAAAGGCTAGTAAACAATTTTTTTTTTGTTGGATTCATTATTCATAGCATTATGGATATACGTACATCCATAGCACTATAAGCAGCACTTTAGTTCACATCTGCTTGCACATCTTGAAGTGTTTTAGTGCATGTACTGCTGAATTTTTAATGGATGAAAGCTTTGTTATGAATGTAAAATGTCACAAAAAATTTAAGATAAGTTTTAGTGCACACTATTAACTAAAAAAGGCTAAAATATGATCAATCATTTAAATTTTTGGCAAAGCTATATAGCGTTCTAGAGGAGATTCACTGCTATGGGAAGTACAATGGACTGTTAACGAAAACTGTTAGGATCCTAGGTTCTATATATCTCACTTTATTGATCTAGCTGTGGATTCAATAAAATATCATTAAATACTTTTTTACATACACCTAGCACGTGTATCTAAATTTGTCTTGACATCAGCATCCTGTTACACTCTAAAAATCAGTACTTACCCTAGGTTCACTCCTAAGCATTTTCCGCAGTGTTTTGTGTTTTGCAGATACGCAGTACAGTATATTTAACATGTTTTCCTATGGGACATCTCCATTTTCACCCAGTGTGTTTTTTTAGAAAGGAACGGGACTTTTTTAAATGCAAAGAGTTGCATTTTTGGTTCTATAGACTTCAATGGAACCGCTGCAGAAAAGCATGCATTTTTGCTGCGTTTTGCGGTTTAAATATGCCTAGTAACAAGGATCATGTAAAAAAATTAAAAAAAACCCTGCAAAATGCATCACAAAGGCGGCAAAAACACGTAAAAAAACTCAGGTGCAAAAACGCAAAATGCAATGCAGAAATGGGTCAAACACAACCTGCATAGGTAAGAACCTAGCCTTTGTGAGGGAGTGGAAGTGGTTGATATACTAAAACTGGAGAGTGCAAAATCTAGTGCAGCTGTGCATGGTATCCAATCAGCTTCTAATTTCAGCTTGTTCAATTAAGCTTTGACAAAGAAATCTGGAAGCTGCTTGATTTCTATGCAGAGCTGCACCAGATTTTGCACTATCCAGTTTAATTAAGCAGGCTACAGACGGAGAAAATTTAATTTGCTCAATTCCCCCATCAACACAGATAGTGTTGACAGGGTAATCCCTCTTGCAGAGCCATTGTGTACTACTGGAGGGGACGGCTCAGGAGAAAGTGATTATTGCTAGTGGCTGTAACAGCCATTAGTTATAATGGCATGTAAAATCTGGTGGGTTGGTTGTACCCAAGTTGATCGACTGATCACTTGGGTACATTTGGCCTGCCCATTGTTCAAATTTTGCCAGGTTCAGCAGGCACCGGCTGAAATTGTATGGGCAGGCTGTATGATATGAAGAGATGTGAACCATCTTTGGACAACTTAAATCAACTCTGAAGTATTAGCACTCAGCCAATTCAAAGTTCTTTTAATTTAGTCTGGTAGCTTCCCGATAAAAGGAGAAATAAGAGTGAGGATATTATCAGTCTGCTGCTATCCCTTAGTTGTCAAATCATAGGCAGAGACAGGTTCTAGAGCAGTCTCTATAGCTTAGCTGAAGTGTAGTTTGCAGATAGATCTCAAAGAGTTAAGAACTTGGCTGCCCTATCTGGTAAGTTCACCTTTCATACCATGTTACATTTTACACCCATATTCAGGGTGTAACATGTAACGTGTTATAACGTTTTATTAATGCACTGGCCCCCGCTCACTGTCAAATTTTAAAAAAAACGTGGCCGGATGGGCTCTGCTTGCCCGGCCGCATCACTCATTCACAGTCTTCTGTGAATGAGAAACTACAAGTCTGAACAGCCATAGCGCCATGGTAGTTCATTGATTCTTCCTGTCACATACATCATGTAGTGGCAAGCAGATATACTGACAGATCTGTAGGAGTACTACATGGCACCAGCGATCTGCTGATCGCGGGTGCAATGCTTTACAGGCTCCTGCAACCAAAAATAATAAATACACATTTTTTTAACCTGCAAAAAAATGTGCATTTATTATTTTTGGTATAAAGGTGAACTTATCTTTTAAGATAACCTTAAGGGTCCAATGCAATTTTTCTACTTTCTTCAACTATCTGGTAGCAGAGACTGGTTGAACAAAATAACAAATCTTTGGCAAGTAAGACATTTCACATAGATGAAGCTCAATTCTATATTTAGCTACTTGCCTAAAGCTTAGCTTGTTTTCAACCCTATTTTATTTTTATTCATGCATTTTCAGTACATGTGTATGTTGTATAACATGAACAGGCTTCATAAAATATTATTTACAACTTATTTACACATTTTATTTAAAGCTTATACAAACATAAGTAAGAAACTAGAATACTTACCGCCAGTATATAAGAATACCAACAAGAACCACAAGACAAATAAAGGTCAAGGGATGACACGACCACAAGTGGTATAATTGTCTTCTCTCGTGATTCCAGACCTTCTGCTAGACCAACACGAGACTCATGGCTACTATTACTTGCCTCTGTAGTCAGAGAAAATGGAAATCATCTATATTTATATAGTAGCAGAAATACATTGTCAAACATGTTTGTGTGTAAGTAGATTTATCAAGCAGTGAAAATACTTATCTTCCTAGGAGTAAAGAAAGTTGTATTGAATGTTCTCACTCCTTGGTAAATGACTCTTGTAACTTAAAGATGTTTGCTTAGGTGTCTAATGTGCTTATGTCAGGACAACAGCATCTACACTGAGCGTAAGACTTTCTGATTATGTTTTCTACTTACCTTCTTCTACATACATAACAGACATGCATATGCTTTAAAATATGTTTCCAACTACTATGCTAACACACTATACTAGTATGAGAAATAATTGCTGGCCAGGCTTCAGAATCTCCCAATCCATTTCTGAGTGCTTTTTGGACGTCAATGCAACATGACATTTAAATGGGGTGGTGTTAGGTACACTTCGATCCTACTGAATTAAAAACCAAATTACATTACCCCTGCTGTAAATAAGAGTGATCTAAACTACAGTGACAGAAAGGTGACATAGAGCACCTTGCACAATGGAAAGCTATGCCTAAAATACATATTTTTCTGATTTTCTCAAAATTTGATAAAGACCCAGTTATACAAGGTCCAGAAAATATTGGCTTTGGGATTTTATGATAAATGGGTGCCTCAATATAACTTTGCTCTTTCATTCTTTTTACAACTGTTTATCTTTTGCTATTATAGCCATTTCAGAGGAAGACAGGTCAATTGCCATGCCTTTTAGAAGGCTGCATATTAGAAACAAGCCCCTATATTTAAAATATTTAGGGTATATTTAAATCCAATAGAAGTACATATATATGAAAAACACTTTACTAGTTTTTATTTTGGTGATTGTAATAAGGCAGTTGTACTCCGAATAATCAAAATAAATGTAATTTGGAAGAAAACTACTGTGTTCCTCTGTTCTGGCTCTGTGGGACACTCTTGTTAATGGAATAATGCCTGTTGTCATGCTGTTTTTGTAACATATATAGGGCAATCATACAAGCCAAAACTAGGTCTCTAGTTATTTTTAAACCCACCTAAATTGTAACCACTATAAACCCCTTGTTACAGCTTGAAGATACCCCGTTTTGGGGGAAGTCCCAGTCCCAGATGTTTTCATTTTGGACTGTTGGCAAGTATATTTCAAGCTTACCCAAGCAGTTATAATAACCTTATAGCCCAACACTGGTCAAAATGTTTATTGTTTCTGTTTATCAGACTAAGTATTTTGTTTTAGACAGAGCAGAAAGGGTTGAAAACTCTGTCAGATTTTTTATTGCCCCCCAGTGTCCATATTGGGCAGGATTCCCCTTACGTCCTGTCAGGAAAGGAAGTGATAGGAAATCATTCTATGGGACATAAACAAAATCAAATTTTTCAGTAGTGCAAGGAAGTGATAGAGTTCCTTACAATGTCTTTATTGATGTCCATGGCTTTATGTATTATGGCAACAACCATACCTCTTACATTATATATAGGCATCACATGGACTGGTAAAATGGCAAATATTCCTAAAGGGGTTGCACACAATAATAGAAGCTCTTCACTCCCTAAAATTTTGTTTGGATTTAGGACTAAAATGAGTCTTCCCAGAGAGAGAACTTCCACCTTGGCATCTGAAACCTCCATGTAGTGACAAGGAGGAGTCTCCAAATTCTGCATCCTCATACTAAGCAAAAGAAGGACCTTTGTCCACCATCATTTACATTTTCTACTTGGACTAAAGTCCACTTTCAGAAAATATAGAGCTTGTGTGTAAAAAACAATACATAAGTACATCTATCAACTTTACAGAATAAACTGAATTTCTTCATTTATGCAAAACTGTAAATTTAACTGAACAGAATTTGGTTAAAGAAAGAATAGCTTATTGCTCTACACAACATGCTGCATCAGAGTCAAGAGCATAAAACTACTGTACATTGAAACAGAATCACAATGTAAGTTAGTTTGAAAAACAAACACTGGTCTAAAACATGCATGCATTCATCACTATTCTGCATAAATATCATACTCATATATGATATTTATTTATTAGTCCATGCAAATCATGCTTATACAACATGCTATGACAAGAAATATATGGTGCTGTATTGCACACTGCTTCTAAAATGAATGGTTAGTTACACCCATTTAAGCTGTGCAGTCATTTCATTCATTTTGCGTAAGAGTTTATTCACAATTGCATCATCTCTTTTTAGTTACTCTAAAACTAGAGAGATGGAGATGAGGGAGATATGTCAATCCAAGCTGTGCTGGAATGGAGCGCCAGTCTTTCTGCTTCTTTCCATTCAAAGTTTCAACAGCTTTGGGCAACACTGCCCTGCCTCAAGTTCACTAGAACTTACAGAAGGGCAGTATTGTCCAAAATTGTGAATAAAAAGAAGCCAAAAGACCAATGTTCCATCCCCTTTAACTTTGTTTCTAAACTCAAATGGTTCTCTATAACCTTCTGTGGTGTATTGTTAAATGCTAAAACCCTAAACTGTGTCTATATTTAGGAGCTGCCTGAGTGGACTGAATGGGGCACTGTCTAACCTCTATTTTAAATCAAAACATAGAACAGTTTTTCGTTTTCTTTTTTTGCTGAGATAAAAAGCCGTACGAATGCACAGTACACGTAAGGTGATAGGCATACAGTGAAGAAGATACAGCCAGTGATCTTTACACATCTGCACACATTTCACATAGCGATGGGCTTAATGATGGGGATGAAGTGGAAAGTGCATGCTGTTATCTGAAAAGCCTATTTTCACGAAAGCGATCATGTATGAGACTGAAGACATGCGGTGATACCTAAACACCAAGTCTACATGTCATGGAAAACAGCCATTTACTGTACAGGTATGAAAATGACGCACCTTGATTAGAAAACTCTTCATGGCATCAGAAAATAGGATGTGGTTCATAGGGCATGTGTGGTTTGGGAAAGAAAGGAGATCATAACTGTTCTTTTTTGACAGTGTAAGCTGTTTTATAACTCACATGCAGGTTATTGTATAAGGGCTTTTCTCTATCCCTTCCAGTGTGATTAAAGTGATATTAAGGGATTATGGTAAGGTAATTATAGGGGCAAAGTGAAAGGAAACTGCACATTCCAGTGAAATGTTAATTTCCTTATTTTTAAACAGTATTTTTATTTATTTAAAATTGACATTAGACTAAGGATTTGCTCATTGAGAATCAATTTAGCAGTAGTTAGGGGAATGGCAGGCTTAATAAGACTGGTGGTATAAAGTGTCCGGATTTATGTTGTTTGCTTTGTTTCAAAAGAAAACCTTTACTGCACTGTATTTCCTTGCTAGGAAAATAATACTTGTTAAAGAAAATCTGTACTGAAAGAAATATTGGTGCATGTCAATGCTGACCTCTTTCTGCATACTAGCTCTGGGCAAGTGAATCCAGAGAGTTAACAAGACAACAAGGTAATTTCCATTTTTCGAGGGTTAAGGCAGCAGTGGAAGCCTACATACTTCTCTCAGCACAGGTTTCCTTTACAGTGTACAGTATGTAGATCCTAAATCTATTTTTCAGTATATTTGGCACCATGTCTTTCTGTAAGCAGCTTTCTTACGTTTCCTACTAGGAAACTTTCTGTTGTGGGCTGACAATTCTAACCTGCTACCCATCAATTAGCAAGAGAGCTGTCATCCTGCCAAGGCCATGCCTTTAGTTGGATGCTGGGCTGCCTACTTGGTCTATAGGAGGCTAATTGTGAAGCAGTGCCTTAGTGATGCCAACCTTTAACAGGACATGCTGCTGCTGGCAGGATCTCTAGGCATGACACTCTGGAACAGATCCACAAAAAATATTTGCTTAAGAAAGTTGTATACATTGAAGCAATGATGTCAAACATACTGAAAAATAGATTTACTTTATTTTTCTTTAAATAGAAAAATTAACCATTGATACAGTTTCCATGATATGTTATGTAGTATTTACTTTGTCAATGCATAGTCCAATGCATTTGAAACAACTTATTAAAGTGATTTTCTCAACATAAACAGTATGTTTGCAAACTGCATCCTGCTTAAAGAATGGCAAAAATAGTAACAATTGTAAAAAAAAAAATGCTTGACAAAACATATGGGATTTTATATGAGGGAGATTCTTTATATGGCTGGAATTTTTATTATTTTATAATGGTGTTTTTAATGACATGGTGAACAATAAAAATATTTGTATATTTATATAACAAATTTGTAATTCTTGGGTACTGCAAAAATCTACCTAGTTTTGGTCCCTCCCACCTTCCCTTTTTGATCATCTAATGATTATGGGACATGGTACCAATAATTAAGGCCCATGCCATTTTGAATTTGATTTAGAAAACATATGGAATAAAACACATATTCATTCGGAACCAGAATTGCCAATTTCCAGTGTGCAGCTATTTTAAGAATATAATGGTAATTTGTGTTGAATGCTGAGGGTTTATAACAATAGGGAACTGCAGAACCAAGAAGACCTTTTTTTGTCTATCTATATAATTGGACCAAAGACGAAACTGGGGCATAGTGGATTTTTCTGTATAATTATCTATCCAAGAAACAAACAAATGAATTGAATGTGATTAAGAATAATTAACTGTTATACATTTTAGAATGCTCATGTTTATAAATTTTTAGTGGCATGTGTTTTTAGAGGGAAATCCTAGGCTCATTTAACTAAGGATACATTGGAATTGCCTCTTACATGATCAATACAGGGAGTCTACTTTTGGTCATTCCTAACAGCGCTTGGAAAACAGGACATTACAGTGTTTGGTTTCAGGTCCAGGGGAATGTTAATAGGCCACGTGTGATGAAATAGAAAAGTACCCTCTTACTCTATGACTTGTTTAGTAACACATTACTTCAAAATACATCTCAAAATTAACCTTCAAGAGAAATTAAGGGGTGCTATTGTAAATATTTTTTGAAAGTTGCAGGTTCCCTGCTTTGTGAGTCTGTGTCCCAGAACAAGCATCCAGCAAGGG